GTGACCAGCGACCTTGTGACTCCTGTGTTGTATAACAAGATAAAAAGTACTTGGGATTTGTGGATTGAGCCTTTTCTCATTTATCTTCCAGAGGTCAAAGTCTACTGCGCGCAGTGACTGCTACAACCCCCCCTGTAAGTCAGACAGGGCTGCCTGTGTGTCAGGCCCTAAAAGCAGGGCAGTTCTTGCAAGAACACCTTGGAAGGTGTTTGTGTGGATTTCTCTGTGGTCCCTATGGTGATCTAATGAAGCAGGAGGAGATCCAGAACTGTCTGAAAGCCCAGAGTTAGGATTGTTTGAAATCCCAGACTAGTAACAAGAAACTTGGCTGAGGCTAACCTGCTGCCTGCCTCCAGTGCTGCTTCTTATACGTATCCAAGAAGCTGCCTCCAGTTTATGGTTGCACTCTAGTAAACAATTTTTCATGCAAATATGGGCAGCAAATGTTACTCCTGCCTGAGTGGACCCTTCAATGTGTTAACAACAGCGATGTTCCTCAGATCTAGTCCTATTAAACAATAGATGTAGCCACCAGAAAGAGGTCCCACTGCTTACAGCTGTTCTGTTACAGCTCACTCAAAACACTTTGAAGGGTGATCACGTCATCCCTCTTTGAGCATTTGAGGGGACTGACTCACAAGTATGAGCAAAATAACATTAGATGGTTTAAGTGGCTGCAGCCCCAGCTGTGTCCCTACTGCCCAATTCCCAGAAGGGCTCATCGCTCAGCTGCAGAAGGCAACTCCTGAGCTGCTGTCATGACAGCCTATTCTTAAGGGTGTTAATACTTGTCTGGCTCCTCAGGAAGCTTAACCAGCATAAAAATGTACACTTTTTCATCTGAAGAACTGCCTTTTAGTTTAATTTCTCAAACAGGTTCAGAGAAGCACCAGTGCTGCTGTGAGGGCAGGGCAGAGGCAGGCACAGGCAGAGATGACCTTCCCTTTCAGAAGCAGCTAGCCATTACGTCAGTTTTGCTGCCTCACAAAACTATGCCCTATGGTTATTTCTGGTGCTGGGCTGCCTTAATTTTCTGGAGAGTGACTGAAGGATTAACATAGTGTGCTTATGGCATTTGGAAGTTAAGTTTCGGGAGGAAAAAACATCTTAATTGAGCATGTGCTATTAGGTAGCAATGCTTAAGTTGTTAGGAGTGGGAAAGGTAAGTGTACGGTACCCATTCCTACAATTCAGTTAGGGGGTTAAATCCTTTTTTTTTTTCTTTTGCTGCTTTTTAAGACCTCTAACCCAAAATCTAATATCCGTCTCTAGAGAAAGGAGTCTTTCAAGAGACCAGCTCTGAACCTATAAATAATGTACACAGTGAGTACAAAAATAGAGTCAAGGAGAGGCTCCACCTTACCTGAAGGTAACTGCAAAGGCCAGTTGTGAGCTGCACCCTGGTCAAACAGGAGGCTGCAGGGAGCACTAGCACCCTGTCATCCATCTTGACTAAACTGCTTCTGAGATTCACATCTTCCTCCAACATCTGAATAGCAGCTGCTAAATCATGACTGCATTGCACTGAAATACATTAGATTTCAGGGGCTTAATGTATCAAGGTCTTGAATAATATTGCTATAAACATACTTGGAACTAAGCATCTGCTTGAGTGCGTTATTAGGTTGGATGTGTTGGGGTACAGAGCCTGAACCTTGCTATAAATGAAAACCCTGTGGCAAAAAAAATGTAAATAAATGCCACACTTTGTCTGAGAGCCCTTCCCAGTATCTATAAATATGGTAATTTGGATGTTTCCCACTTCTGAGTTTTAAATAGGAGTCAGACAAAAGAAATACAAAGACAGCATTTTTCTTTTCATGGATTAATTTTATAACTTCAGTTTGAACTTACCTGAACACACTTAATGGAAATGAAATGTAATGTCTTAAAAGAGGATTGCCCGTGAAAGGAAATTATTTGTTCTTAGAAAATCACTAGATTAGCTTCTCAGTTTAACTGCATTTTCATGTGAACTCAAAGCTCATCTCAGGTCAGGCTCTCCAGGAAAACTTTCTCATGGTTTCTGTAGCAGTTGATTCATTCTTTGCTGCCTTCATTTTGCAGCTTTAAGTGGCAGGTTCTCTGAAAAGCCATTTACTTCAAAGCTTTATAAACTAAGGCTTTGAATAAATGACTGAATTATGCTGGCTGTGCCCAACTTTGTGCCTGGATGTGGGAATACTTAGCACTGGGTGTGGAATTCTAAGGAAAATTACCTCTTCCTTTTGCTTGAGACCCTGCTGGCTTGCAAACACAGAGAGCAGCAAGAAGGAAAACTGTGGATGAGGAGGCATGGAAATCTCTGGTATCCCTTCTCCACTGAGAACACATCCTGAACAACTACTGAATATTAATACACAGTGGAACTAGGGTGATGTTGTATCAACGATGGGAGCTGAGCTTCAAAAGACTACATGTCCCAGCAGGCCATGTAGGAGACGCTAGCCCACAGCGCAGCATTGCATGCTGGAACTTGTAGCACCCTTCAAATGCCTCCCTGCGTTAGGCATGGCAGTGTTTCCCCCTCTTGTAGCCATATGAGCCGTGTCATGGTGCCTTGCGCTGTGTGCCTGGTCTGTTACTGGAGGACATGCATTAGTTTGGATTTAAAAATGTGTTTTTCAAGCTTTAGATAATGCTGTCATGACACCTGTAAGTGACAGAATAGAATCCCAGACTGGTTTGGGTTGAAGGGAGCTTAAAGCTCACCCAGTTCCAACCCCTGCCACGGGCAGGGACCCCTTCCACTAGAGCAGCTTGCTCCAAGCCCCTGTGTCCAACCTGGCCTTGAACACTGCCAGGGATGGGGCAGCCACAACTTCTCTGGGCACCCTGTGCCAGCGCCTCAGCACCCTCACAGGGAAGAGCTTCTGCCTAAGAGCTCATCTCAGTCTCCCCTCTGGCAGGTTAAAGCCGTTCTCCCTTGTCCTGTCCCTACATCCCTTGTCCAAAGCCCCTCTCCAGGTTTCTTGTAGCCCCTTTAGGCACTGGAGCTGCTCTAAGGTCTCCCCTTCAGGAGCCTTCTCTTCTCCAGGCTGAACCAGCCCAGCTCTCTCAGCCTGGCTCCAGAGCAGAGCTGCTCCAGCCCTCGCAGCATCTCCTCTGGACTCTGTACTTAGAATACTTAAACTTCTCCTGTACCTATGTGTACAGAGCTGATCTGTCCACCATCACTGTTTGCTTTCTCCTGAATCTTTTGAAGTTTGTGTCTTCAAGCCAGTTCCTTATATTAAAAATAAATTCTTCCAAGCCACCAATAAAATGTCAAGCGTGATTAAAGCCTGACTCCTCATTTTAAGACTTGTCTCCTAAGCAGCATGAGGTCACTCTGAGTCAGCCTTTGAAAGGACCGTTATTCCTGAGAGCACGGGTAAGGCCCTAAATTCAGAGGTGTGTGCTTAAATGGTTTCACAGTGTTTTGAATCACTTTTCTTTATGCTGAACATGAATATTAACTGTGGGGCTGGCTTGGTAAGGATTGCAGACACCTCAAACCTTGAAAAAATCCTCTATATTAATGTAGAAGTTGGTATTTCTGGTAGGAAAGGTTTTACCTCCTGGGTATAAAAGAGGGTGGAATGGGGAGCTGTGCTTGAGGCACAGACTTTCAACTATGTTCTGGTGAAATGAAACTGGGAACTGCAAAATCTCTGGGCAAGGACTGTCCTTTGTACAGAGCTGAGGCCTCATAGAGCTTTCTGCACACAGGAACTTTGTTTACTATATATTAATACGTAAAATATACAGCAGGATGTTACAAGCTGCAATTGCAAGCCCTGAGATGTGAGGAAATACTATTTTTGTCTCTGCAGCCTTTTTTATTTTGTGCATATTAATTATAAGCGTCTTTAATTCCATGATCCCGTTTTGTCACTCATGCTTCCTGTTTGTTGTGGTTCATGCTCTGAGTATCTGCAGGTAATAAACCACACTGGAGTACTGAATAACTCAGAGCAGGACTCTGCACCTGAATCCAGCCTGTGTCAATCCCTGGTCTCCCCATCCCTCTTGCTGCCCTTTTCCTACCCTCCTAACTCTTGCCTCAATTCTCGCTGCTGTGTCCAAATGAAACCCCTTGCTGTCCATGGAGAATGCCTGTGTCTGCGAGGGAGTGGGGAAAGGCAGGTGGAGGGGAAAGTCTTGCTGGCCTTTTCCTCCTGCGAAGGAACATGCTCAGAGCAGAGGCAGGATTCGAGGTCACTTGGCTGCAGACCCTCCACAAGACACGCTCCAGTGGGCATTAGCAGAGATTTGCAGTGGTGAGAATCTGGGGCAAACTCTGACAAGCTCCAAGTTGTTTCCCCCTTCCCCTCCCCGGCTTTCCAACACCACCACTGGCACTTTGTTAAGCATCATTCCTGATCTCCAGCGCTTTTCTCGGGAGCAGCAGTGGGGTGTGTGGAGGTGCCTGGCCCTCACTACAGCCGTGCTGGGCTCCGTCCCGGCCGCTCTGCGGGCGGAGCCCCGGAGCAGAGCGGGGACCCGGTGGCGCTCCCAGCGCGCTGCTGCTCCCGCGTTCTCCGTGACTGCGGCTTTAACGCGGTGCTCCCGCTGACCGCCTCCCCTCCGGCGCAGCCCTGCGGACGCGGTTGCGCTACCCCGGCCTGCTGCAGCCCCTGCTCGGCATTACCCGCTCCTTTACGGGCTCTGCTGCACCCCGAGCCGCCCCTCTCCCGCGGGGGGCGAGGCTGCGGAGCCAGGCTGTGCGTGCACCGCCCCGGTTCCGCGGGGGAGCCGCTCGCCAGGCTCCGAGGCCTGACTCAGCGGTGAAGGCAGCGGAAGGTGGCTGTGCTCCGGCACGGCCGCGCTTGCACGGGGGAGAGGGGTGAAGCGCACCCGGCCCCTGGCCTCACCTGGCGAGGGGGTGGCCGGCAGGGCCGTGCCGCGGTGGCTGGGCCGGCTTCCATATCCTCTCCTCTCCCCGCCTCGCCTCTCCTCTCCGGCCGCCGGGCCGGGGCGGGGCGAGGGGCGGGCGCGGCGGCGCGGCTCGCTGATTGCAGGGCGGGCGCTGCCAGTCCGCCGCGTCCCAGCGCCGGAGCCGCACGGCCCAGCAGCGAGCGCCCAGCCCGGCCTGGCCCGGCCCCGCCAGCCGCCCCCCATGGAGGAGCAGCCCCACCACCATCATCACCACCATTACTACTACTGCGGCCACCACCACCACCACCCGCAGAGCGCCTACCTGCCGCCGCCCGACGGCCGAGCCCAGCCCAAGCCGCCGCTCCGACACGAGCACAAGCACGGCGGCCCGCAGCACCAAGAGGCGGCCAAGCGGAGAACAGGTCCGGGGCAGGGCGGCGGGACGGGGCCTGTGACCTTCTCGGGGCGGCGGCGGCGGGGCCTTCCTCCTCCTCCTCCTCCGCCGCCTCCTCCCCCGGCCCGGCTGGAAGCTTCTCCGCCGCGCTGGGGCAGCTTCCTGTCCGCCATGTTGGGGCCGGCGCGGCAGCGGGAGCCGCGGGGCCCGCCGGGCACGTGGGGCCGGGCCGCGCCGCACCGGGAGCGCTGCCCATGGCCGGGCCGGGCCGGGGGGCTGCGGGGGGCGAGGAGGCCCCGGGGAGAACCGATCAGTGACTCGGAGGAGGCGGAGGGGCCTGCACCGGGGCGGAGGGGGGGGGTGCCTCTGGGGCCGCTTCCTCCTCGGGGTTCGGGCCGAGCCGGGGGCGAGGCTGCGCGGAGCCCGTGAATGGCACTGGGGAGAGGGGGGAAGCTGCTCCCGAGCCCCCACCTCACCCTGGGGCGCTGCCCGGCTGCTGCGTCCTGAGAAATAATCCCATTTTGGGGGGGGGGGGGGTTCAAAGCAAGTGTGTGATTGCGGCAGCACCCAAAATGCCGTACAGATCCCTGAATTCTGTGGTTTTCCTTGAGGTTTTCATTTACATAACGAGGGAAGGGCCCTGGCCGGCATCGGGAGCGGGGCTGGCGGCGCCGGAGCCACGCACGCAGCCTCGGGAGCGGGGGTAGGGAGGGAGCGGCCCCGGCCCCGGCCAGCGCTAAAATAAGTTGCCGAGCAAAAAATAAGTTGAGGAGTCATTTGTCTGTTTGCAGTGTGCCCGGGGTGCCGAGGCGCGCTCGCTCTGACACCCCTCCCTTCCCAGCTGTGAAACCGTGCCAGAGCCTCCTCACCTGCGCGTTCCGACATCGCTTTTCTTTAGCTTTCCTCCTCTGAACGTTTGCTCGCTGCCCCTCTGTGCCTAGGCCAGAGCCAGCTCTGCCCAACGTTGGTTGGGAGAAAGCTCTGGGCAGCCGAGTTGTGAATACTTGAGAATTGGAGCTAGAAACTGCTGACACACTGACTTACTGAGATGGATTTTGTTCTTCATTTCATTCTTTCGCTCCTCATCTGCAGTGGTCTTATGACCGTTCTTATTGTTTTGTTGCATTAGCAAGTGGTGTCAGAAGTCTTGAGTCATACAAAGGTCAGCTGTAACACGTTGCTCTTGGGAAAAGGCTTCCTCTCAAATACTTGATTTTGTTTAGTCCTTGAGTTAATCCCATCCCATCAGTGTTCTCCAGGATGAAGGAATCATGGTTAATGTTCTTAACAGCCCATTGGGAAGTTATAGTGGAAGTTGTGGTGGTTACAGATACTTGCGCGTAGTAAAATCCTTTTTGATCCCTCTCAGCAAACGCAATTGTGGAATTTCTGTGAAGATTCCTACAAGGATTCTTCTGTTCCCGACTTACCCAGAACTTGAGCAGTTACATCTGCCAGACATCTGAGGCTCCAGGATGTGAGGATAACAATGATTTCTGGTATAGCAGTTAATTTCAACAACATTGGCAACAACAAAAACATTCTTTTTCAAGCTGGAATTCTGCCTGCTCTCATTCTTGGGGGACTGACTTGGTGCCACCGTGGCTGCAGATGAAGCCTTAGGTGGGTCAGTTGTTGCAGATGTCAGGCCTTCCACCCTCGGGAAGGAGGATGGATGAGTCAGAGGAGGAGCAAGGATATCGCTCTTCCTGGAGGAGCGGGTCCCTCTGCTCCGTGCGCAGCTGGAGTGTGTTTGTTGAGCTGGGTACAGAGTCCTCTTCTCATCTCTTGGTGGGGTTTCAAGGCTTCTCTTGGGCATTGTAGCCAAAGTCCTTGAAAGTGAAAGGTCTCTGGCCAGAGGTTTTGCAAAGAAAACGAAACAAGGAGGAAGTTGAGGTGGTTCTGGGCTGTTCTGAGCTTCCAGCTCCTTGAATTGCACACTCCAGATTCACTTCAGAACCATAAGGCCTAGAAATGAACTGCAGAAGGAGGAAGGAAGGCTGAGTGTACAGCATAATCTCATGCTTTGTTGAGGTGGATCCCTCAGCAAGTGCTTTATTCCTTGGGTCTCAAGCTAGGAGCGGGTCTCCCAAGGACAAGTTTCTTGGTGGGCAGGAGACCAATCACTGGTAGTGGTGAAGGCTGATTGCAGGGATGTGGTTCTTCCTGCTTTTATCACCTTCTCAATGTTAAAGAGCACATGTAGGGAGGTGTTGGTTGCTGTCTTGAAGTGAGGGGGTGCTGGCTCCCTTTCTTCCCTCCTCCTCCTTCCAACTGGACTTGCACATGTCCTCTTGGAAAGCTGCTTTTTTAGGTTTTCGTAGGGATTCTTTTCCCCCTTTACTGGAGATGGCACTTGGGAGAGGAGGGTGGGAAGGAGGGCTGCTGGTGTTGCAGGCCTGGCAGCTAATGGAGATGATAGGAGTTGGCTCTGGTTCACTGTACGGATTCTGAACCTTAACAAATCTCATAGCAAAGGCAGCAGATCCCTCTGTCTTGAAGCATCCTGGGAATTACTTTTTTTCCTCTGCATGACCTGGAAACAGTAGCTGATGAAATAGCTCTCTAGCTTGCCAGTGGCCTTCAGTGCATTTTCCTTATCTAGTATCTGAATAGTCTTTCCCTGTATTTTGTCATCCATAGGTCACCATGTTGTATGTATGAGTCAGTGGCTGCTGATACTTTGTGCTTAACCCTTTGTGCTGTGGTTTCCAGCAGATAAGCTTTTGCTTTTGTACATGGGAGACTTTTCCTATTTTAAAATGTCTGCTTGAGGAAACTGGATATGTTTGGGGCTGATTACAGCTTTCTGCCATCAGAAGTTTAATGTTTCACATTCTAATTCTTGCCTTTTGTTGTTTTTGGCTTCCTTCTAGGCTATGGAGAGCTAAATGGTAATGCAGGAGAAAGAGAAGTGTCATTAAAGGGCCTGTGCTCTGATGAAACCACCACCCCAGGATCCAGGGTACCCAATGGCAGCCAGCAGCTCGTAGACACTAACGTGCCCCCAAAGCAGACTGTGAAGGCCAGCGCTTTGGGGAAAGCTGGAATCAAACCCAAAAACTTCATTCAGAAAAATAACATGGACAAAAAGAATGAGAAATCCTACGAGAACAAACTTAGAGAAAGCCAATCCTCAGACAAGCCAGAGGGAATGTCTATTCCAAACGGTGTGGTAACCAATAACTCCAGCTATATCACCAATGGCTACATAGGGAAAGGGGCCGATAACGATGGAAGTGGCTCCGAGAGTGGATATACTACACCTAAGAAGCGGAAAGGCAGGCGCAACAGTGCCAAGGGTTGTGAGAACTTGAATCTAGTTCAGGACAAAATAATGCAACAGGAGGTCAGTGCCCCAACCTTAAAACAGGAACTTGAGAGTTTCAAGCCTGATTATAGTGAGCAAAAGGGGAACCGAATTGAAAATACTAAGCCAGTTTGGAAATACGAGGCTGGAGCTGGTGGAGCAGGACGGGGAAAGCCTGGGCTTGGGGATGTACAGCGAAAAAACTCGGATGCCAAACCTGGGATTAGCAGCAAGAAGTTTGATGACCGGCCCAAAGGGAAGCACGCGTCATCAGCTACATCTAAAGAGGATTCATGGACCTTATTTAAACCACCCCCAGTTTTTCCAGTGGACAATAGCAGTGCTAAAATCGTACCCAAAATAAGTTATGCAAGTAAAGTTAAAGAGAACCTCAACAAAGCAGCTCAAACCCCATCCACATCATCTTCTTCATCTTCATCATCTGCCGGGGAAGCTCAGGCCCAAACATCCAGTCGACTGTCCCAGGTCCCCATGTCTGCTATGAAATCTGTTACTTCTGCTAGTTTCTCTAATGGGCCCATCCTGGCAGGGACAGATGGAAGTGTGTATTCCCCAGGGACCCAGCCACTGCTCTCATCTGCTGCTAGTACTGTACCATCCACCTCCTCTGAGTCAGGACCCCAGGACATGAGTACACCTTCAGCAGCTCTCGAACAAAAGAAATCTAGCCTTTTTATCTACCCTTCAAATATGCAAACTGTGCTTCTGGGTACAACCCAAGTCAGTTTCCCATCGCAGACCAATCAGCAGAACCTGGGGGATATCTTCCAGAATCAGTGGGGTTTGTCTTTCATCAACGAGCCCAGCGCTGGACCCGAAACTGGGGTGGGGAAATCTGCGGATAATCAGTTAATGGAAGTGACATTTCAAGGGGAATATCCTGCCACTTTGGTTTCGCAGTGTGCTGAAATCATTCCCTCAGGAACTGAACAACCTGTGTTTCCTAAGGCTTATGAGCTGGATAAACGGACTAGCCCTCAAATTCTTAGTGCTATTCTTAAGCCTGGGACTGCTGTTGAGGGTGGTGTCTTAGCTTTGGAGTCGCATCACACAGGTGACCTACAAAAGGCAGACACCGGTAGCCAAGGTGCTTTAGTGTTTCTTTCAAAAGACTATGAAGTAGAGAATCCTCTGGCCTCTCCCACGAACAATTTGCTAGCCTCCGCCAAAGAACAGAGGTACCAGAGAGGCCTAGAAAGGAAAGATAGCTGGGGTTCTTTTGACCTGAGGGCTGCTATTATGTATCACACTAAAGGTAATGGCTTCACTAATGCCTAAGGGCATTTTCTCTTTTATGTTATTATTTTAAATGCAATATTCTAACGTGATCTATTCTTTACAGCAGTTGATTGCTTTAAAAATGAGCCTTTTGCTTGTACATCTCTAACAGCAGTAGTGGTTTGGGGAAGTTATTCAAACAGTTGTTTAGTTCATGTTCAGAGGTACTTGTTTCCCTGTTCTGTGGACAAGGGTAAGTGATGATACAGCAAGTATGGTTCATGTTTTAATTCCCCTGGAAGAAGCAAGTCCTCCTCGAGCTTCCAGCATTGGAAGGAGTTAAATGTGTAAGTTTGCCAGTTCTGTTCCAGCTTTACCAGGTGATATTCTGTCTCTGGAAAGGCTTCATAGTCTGTACTCACACCTCTGCCACCAAAGTGTTGCAGCTTCTCCCCTGGGCAGATCAGGCCATGAAATCACAGCTTTGAAGGAAGACAAATTATTCCTACAGCTTTTCATGGTGTGATTTATTTTAATTTCCTGAGCACACACCCCCCCCCTTTTCTCCTGCCCTTCTGGAATATTGGAGCAACAGCAAGACAAATCTTTGCTTATCAGCTCTTCTGGAAGGTGCAGATTGAATTCTCTCATTGTCTTTGTAAACCAAATCTTTCAGATGATTTTACTGCTTTCATGAAGTCCTTTGTAGTCCAGCTCCTTCTTTTTTTTTTTAATTTCCCTGATTTTTTTTTTGTTTTTGTTTGTTTGTTTTTTTTTTTTTGTTGAGCCTGAAATGACTCAAACATGATAGAGATGCCTTGAACTGGGAATGAAGAGAAGGAAGCCTGTGGCTGGCTTGTGTTCGGTTTCAGCCTCAGCCCCAGCAGCAGTGAGGTCTTGTGGCAATTCTTGGCTTTTGGTTTTGGCTCCGTGTTAACAGGAGCCTGGTTGTGAGTTCCCTTTTGGCACAGTCGCGACAACACGGGGCAGTTCCTACTTCTCATTCACCCTGTTCCCGCTCCCTGCATCCATCCCCTTACCCTGAAGGGAAAAAGGTGATCACCCGTTTCTTGTTTACTGTTCCACATACATACGTGGGTAATGTCTTGCTTCCCTCTGCAGAGGTGTTTGTATTTGCTTGGCATTGGCAGATTTGCTGTGTTTTGGCCTACTGCTAAGTTCTTAAATTACCTGTTTACAAACCCTTTGTGTAGCAGACAGACACTCAGATGCCTTCCTTTAGTAACAGCAAGCCCAGTCACTTTAAAATAATAACTCCAAATGTGTTTTTTCCAGGTCTCGCTCATGATCTAGCATTCTTGAGAACAGCATTCATCAATTGATTTTTATCTGGGTCCTCTACCTTGTGCTCAGTCTGTTCCAGTATTAAAGCAAGCTTTCTGTTCTCATTTCTTGTGACTGCCTGCAGCCTAAATCCCAGTTTCCCATCAGAAAATGGGGGTACCAGGAAGCATAGCATAGTCCTAGGCAAGCCTCTTCTTGAGTTTGCAAATTTTCCCAACCTTTAAGTTCGTTTCTCTTTGGTTTTGTCAGCCTTTTGTTAGCTTTCTTGTAGGAAAGCATCTCTGTACAGCTGCAGAGACTCGTCAGCTCTCCCTTTCTCACTAGCAGTGTGAAAGACAGACCCCAGTAAAACAATGGTAACAACAGGAAAATAAAGAACACTCCCTTCCCATGTCCTCTCTTAAGGAGGTGTTAACTTCAAAGTCTGGCTGTGTTTAGTTCTTCTAAACACAGGCGTTAATTACATTCAGTGGCAAGAATGGACACCTAAAGCACTCTTTAAAATACTCTTTTTCTTCTCTTTCCATCCTTGTGCATGTGAATGCTCTTGCTCTGAGCATCCAGAGCAAGCACCCTTGTGATGCCCTGGGGAAACAACCCCACCCCTCCTCTGCCCATGCATTGCTGTGCCTGTGCCAGCTTCAAGGTGTTACTTATGGGTAAAAGATGATGGATGTTTCTAATCAATGCTGTCATTAACACACTGATAAGGGTGCTTCAGACAGCTTGGGCTTGTCTTTCTCCTACTTAATCTTCAGATACTGGTTTACAAAGCAGGAGATAGTAGTCCATGTGTAGGTCTTAGTATCGCTTCTGTGGTGATGTAGGGGTGCTTCCTGGTGTGTTCAGGTCTGTTGGGGTGAGCTGGATTAAGGGGTAGGGGGAGGAATAGTGCCTTTTTCTGCTCCATGCAGATGGAGGTAGCTGTCCCCTCTCCGTCGTGGTGACCCTGCAGCCAGAGTCCTGCAAAACGTCCAGGAAACGCCGCTGCTGGTGTGTTCCCAGGGCAGCAGTGCAGTGGTTAATTCCCACACCATTCCCTCCGTTTATCTTGGGCTGTTTTCCTGAGGTCCTGCTCCTGGCCAGCCAGCTCCTCTGCAGTAGGAAAGGAACGATTTCACTTGCTCATTTTTCACAAGCTGCCTTCTCCTCCCTGCGGGTTTGCCTGGGCCATTGTTCGAGTGTCCCGGGCAGTTGGATCCTCAGATTGTTTGATTTTCATTTCGAGAGGAGGGTGAACTTCTCCCTTGTCACATCGATCTGTTATCTGTTTGCTTTTGAGCAAAGTCTCAATAGTTTGATCTTCAGACCTGCCCTGCCTCTAGGGTTATGGACACAAAGAGAAACGATGGCAGGGCAAGGATGGGGTGAACGTGGAGCACTGGTGGGGTCCTTGTGTGTTCCTCTACCCTGAGCTCTTTGTGTGCAGTAGTTCAATGCAAGGATGAAGCTCTGGGTGTTGCAGTGAGGAATGGGCTCTAGTGTGTATGGTTGCAGTGTCTCAGCTTGTATGTCACAAGCTTGCCCACCTTTTTGTGCTGTTTGTGTCCGTAGCTGTGACCAGGCTGTGTGGATCTTCATCTTGGGCTGCGCATAAGCCATGGGAAAGCCTCTAACTTACTCGGTAGCTTTGTTCCAGCAAAGCAGGTTTTCCTGTGTGTGGTTGCCCAGTGATTGCAAGGGGCATGATAGATTGTAATTGCTTCACAGCTTCCTTCCAATACCTAAAGGGGCCCAACAAGAAATCTGGAGAGGCCCTTTTTACAAGAGCATGTAGGTATAGGACAAGGGGAATGGATTTAAACTGACAAAGGGGAGATTTAGATTGAGATTCACCCTCCTGTTCTTCTCTTGGGTGCTTTTCATGTGTTTTCTTCTGTGCCCCTGCTTCGTGCCTTGGTTTTCTTCCTTTTTAAAGGGCAGGACTACCCTGCTCATCGGATCTGCTTGACTGTAAAACACGATCCTTCAGTGTGGCTGCCTTCACTGACAGCACGTGCCACTTGGTGTTTGTGCTGGTGCCTTGAAACACTCATGGGTGACATAGCTGATTAGCAAGGTAGATCTGATCTAGTTGAGCACTGGTGGGCCTACTGGTTGTATCTCAGCAGCTTTAGTTCTGTTGAAATCAGTATCCTCTTATTGCTTTAGTCCTCTTACAGACAGCTGGATGAGCCATTTCATATCAGAGTAATTACCAGCACTTTGCAGGATTTCATCATACTTGGGCATTTGCAGTCTTCCAGGCCACGCTGTCACTACACCAAGCTCTACGTGGCACATTGTGTAAGTTTGAAGCTCAGTAGTTTGCTTTTCCTTACCTAAAAAGCAGTTAAGATCTGCAGTTCAGCTGCACAGTAGCAAAGACCACATGGGTGGAGGAGAGGAAACTGCAGCGTGTTCCTTTTCTGTCTTGCCCCCAAGTTTCTGCCTGTGCTGCTGCTTTGTTCCATCCCGGTCACGCCAGCATCTCTGCTCACATGAAGGAGCAGAAGAGCAGCATGGAAAATGGAGCAAGGCAGCGTGGGCCAGCCCGGAGTGGCGTGCACTGCAATGGTGAACTGGGTCAGAAGAAATAGCAGAGCTGTGAGTTCAGCAATTCCCATCCTTTACATCAGGAGAGGAGGGGAAGAAAGTGCCTTAGCTTCCCATCCCCCTTGGTGGGAAGGGGTTAGAGCTCGGTCTATTGCTTGTGAGGCCTGAGTTGTGAGGAAAAGGCTGATTTAGTTCTCCTTCAAGTTTCTGCTGTTTCCAATTGTCAGGATGAGTTGCAGTGTATTCAGTACAGCAATGAGTCTACACAGCCTTGAACAGCAATCTCATTACTTACTGATTGTGTCATCTACATAGAAAAACCTGATGAGGATGGTCTGAAGCCATGATCCCAGAGGGCTGTGGGGAGGTTGGCCAACAGTAAAAGCATCCTGGAAAACATGAGGTTGGAAGGGGCACAGGAGGTAACCTAGTTCTGCCCCTGGCTGGAGCAGGGCTGGCTTTGATGCCAGGTTGTGCAAGGTCTTGTTGATGGCGTTTTCTCCAGCTGGGTTGGAGCCTGCTGAGAAGGAAGCATGCAATTTCCCTGGCCACGTGTCCTGCTTTGGGAATGATGACCTCTGTTGGTCAGGTCTTGACCACCTTGTGCTTTGGAAAGCAGCAGTTCTGGTAACTGAGGTCTGTCCAGCCACTGCTGTAGTGGTCCTGGCACTTGTCACAGCACCATGTGACAGTCAGAGGTGACGCAGCCTGTAATCAGTCCACAACCAAGAAGAAAATTCACTCTAATGTATTGCCAAGTAAAGCAGGCAAAATCACAAAAATTCACCTTAAGCTTGAAGGAGAGTCTTTTTCTCCTGGTTCTGCGTTGCAGTTTGCCAAAAACTTGATGGTTTTATCCTCTGTGAAGTTGTTTCAGTTGGTGAATGTGCTCAACCTGTGCTGCTGTCCTGTATTATCCATGTGCTGCTGGCCAGGTAGAGAGGAGGACCTTGCTCTTGCACTTGACAATACTCAGTAGCAGTCAATATCACATCCAGTTTTCTGATGGGCTTTGGGGTTTGTAGCTTTGTCAGGGTGAGCATCTGCCTGCCAGTGTGTCTGTGTGTGTGCTTTACAGGACAGTTCACAAAACCACCTCTCCTACCTCTCCTTCTGAAGAAGGAAGATTGAAGCCTGAAGGGGTTGTGGAATTTGGGTGTTGATTTGTTAGGGTTTTCTTTAAAACAGAATTTTGACAAGGGTTTTTGTGTGTGTGTTGTTGATAGTATCTCACTGTCTATCTGATTGTCAGGCACATCTTAATACAAGCAGTTCACCCTCTTCTGATGTCCCATGAAGTTAAGGCCAAATAGAAGTGCAAAAGAAAGCATGGTCTTTTGCCTGGAGGAAGAGCAGCGAGCAGTGCTTCAGCCTCTGCCTTGTATTTGATGCTCAAACATTGCTCTAATGTGGAAGAGCCAACAACTTGAGAGTAGTTTTCTGAGCCCTGCCTTTGGGGAAAGCTCTTAAAATAGGTGATGTCCTTTAGTTGTTAGGAAATGATGCATCTAACGTCCCTGAATGGAAAATGAGCTCCACTGGAGGTAATTTTAGTAGCTGGTTCATTTTACTGCTGGGGAATCTGCATCTGGTGAATGAGGGAGCCCCTTGCTAGGTTGCTTACATCCATCCCTGGGGGTGGTAGAGGCTTGTTGCTACTCCCAAAACACTTGGAGTTCCCCTGAGCACAGTCTGGCTGTTGTTACCCTGACACATAAAAAACAGACCTTGTAAAATTTTGTCAGGGGCTTCCTTACAAAAGGCTTAATTGTGCAGAGGGGACTGGCAGTATTCATCTGCATGCAATTTCCTGCCCCAGGGAGCTTGAGATAGCAGAGGACAAAGAACAGATGAAGCTTGGAGAAGAGATGCAAACATGGAAGTGATTGATGGAGGTGGCACTCAGCACACATCGTGCTGAGGCTGTGACTTCTGCAGGGTTTTTCTTCTTCCTTTCCCATGCTGGTTAGTTTACTTACTGCCTTGGGTTGTGTTTCACTGCACATACCATGTAGCTCAATCCATTGCTATTCCCTGTTCCCACCCCTGCCAAGGTCCTGTCACTCCTTTCTGGCAAAAGGGAGAACTTGAAAGATTGTTCTTGCAGGTTGTGTTCCTACTAAATGCTCCTTTTCTATAATTATGACTCCTAAACTTGGGTGCAGGGTCCTGTTAGTATCTTCATAAATATTCCAGCTCACAAAATCCCAACTTGAGAGTGTCTAAATGTAATTATTTTGAATGGGTCTCTAAAGATGTGACTTAATTTGTGATATTTTCATGGAGTGAATCATAGAATCACAGGATGGTTTGTGTTGGAAGGGACCTTCAAGCTCATCCAGTTCCAGCCCCCTGCCATGGGCAGGGACACCATCCACTAGAGCAGGTTGCTCTATGGCCCATGCAACTTGTCATGGGGCTGCAAGGGGTGGGGGGAAGAACCTTCTGATTCTTAAAGTGAATGAAAAGAACATTTAACTTTACTGTTACTTCTTAGCTAAACAAGAACATGTGCTCTCAGCAAGAACTGCGGAGGGTTGGTTTGTCTTTAGCCCACAGGTGTGTGTAAACTAGGGAAAGAACTGCCAGCCAGGCAGGGAGCTGGGTGTCCTGAGCACTGCACCTTGTTCTCGGTGATGTGTTGGCAGCAGTTTTGCAGCAGTGTCTTTGCATGGTGTGCTTTGGCAGGTGCACAGCGTGCACCATGAGAAGCCTGCTTTGTTAGTGAGTTCTGATCTCACAGAAATCATCTCTCTAGGCTTCTTGTTGAGGCTGCAAGTTGGAGTCAGAGTAGTAAAGCCCAGAGTTTGTGATGTGTGGGAGTGGAGATTGGAGATGACGTTTCTGATGCTCAGTATGGCCATCTGACCCTGAAGACCACGTTACAGTCTTTTATTCCTAGCTCATTCACATCCAATTCATGCAAACCTGTGGGCTGAGTTGGGGCTGGGCTGGATGGGATTGGCGTTGTCTGAAAGCCTCAGTGTTGTGCCATGCTCAGAAAAATTAAAGTATATTTGGAGTTGTCTCTGGTGGCAGCATCAATTTGCATAATAACAATGCTCTTCTCGTTTTGCCTCCACAGAAATGGAATTGGTTTGGAATTTGCAGAAGCAAGGTAAGGATTTTTGGAAAGAATAAATAAGCTAAGTTGCTCTGTTCTCCTCTGTCTGTTGGGATGGGTGATGAGAGTGGATGGTCTTGGTGTCTGGAGATGCCTGAGTTTAGTTCTTCAATGCCTGCTGTTTGTAATGTGGGTTTACCTTTACCTGTGTTTTGGATTGCTAAAAGACAGAACAATAAGATTTACCATAATTTTGGGGTGTCCAGAAAGAAGCAGAGTCCCTCAAAGAGCAGTAAAACCAGTGTCTAAGATTTAATGAGTTTTCCCTATGTGTACGTGAAACAGCTCTCTACTTCTGGTGTTGGCTGTCAGACCCAAGAATAAGTTTTAGAGTATCTTCAGCCATAGGTCCTGAAAGTAGCTTGTGGGAAACTTAGGATTGCGCTTTCTTTGCAGATCCCAAAAGGATAATCACTTACGATGAAGCCATGGATCGCCCGGATCAATGAAGGTAGCAAGACGAGACTGCCTGTTCTAACCTTTCTGCAGCATTTGTGCTGTTCGTGGGGGACAAAAGGCTTTTATGCTCCTTCTAAATCTTCAGTGCAGCAGAGGAACCGTAACTAGAATCACAGGATAATATATACAAATATATATATAGTTATTTAAAAATGGCAACTGAAAGTAATTAGACTTCTTAAGGAATCTGAAAATCTATTTCAACGAGACTACACACGTGATTATTTAATCTCCGGTACTGAATAGATTTTTTTTTTTCCCCCTTTTCTTTTTTTTTCCTTTTTGGTTTTGTTTTTTGTTTGTTTTTTTTTTTTTTTTTGTTAAAGAGTGAATGCAAGTGATTAACAAACACAGACTCGATTTACAAGCCCGGTTCTAAAGTTCCTGCTGTCGTCTGCCATGGGCCGCAGCAACCCACTGGAGAGGCATTTCCACTTGACAAGGTTTCTGTTTCTCGTTCTGTGACTGTAGTGACACACTAATCACAGGGAAATCAGGATGATTCACCATACTTCATCTCCCCTTTCCCTTCCACCTCCCCTAGTTGGTTGTGTTTTTTTTCCTGTTTTGTTTCCCATTGAATGCTGGAGAAACACCTTGAAGTTTGCAGTTTCCTTTTTTATCCAGAGAATTATAATCCGCATGTTTTGCCAGGAGTAAAGCAGCAATCCGATGCTGGGAATACTGTCTTAAAGCATCATTCTTCTGGGGGTAATACTGCAGTTCTAGGATGCATGGTGAAGTCACACAGTTGACCTGGCTCCGGTTACACGTTGGACTATTGCAACTGAAGAGTTCTTTTCATTTTAAAAGACAACGTGCAAAAATAAGCAATCTGTTTAGGCATTTAATACAGAGAAAAACAAAAAACCCACTGTTCCCACAGGTTAATGCCATTGTATTACTGGGAGCAAAAAAAAAATACCTTCTGCTTTCAACTGTAGGTGCTTCATATTTGCTCTGTCTGTCTCCTAACACTAAATGTGCTGGATTTCTTTCCCATTTTCATTGGAAAACTGAAGAGGAATTGAGTTCTGCTAACTTCCACCTTTCCTGAATTATTTCTTTTCTCTTAAAAAAAAAAAAAAAAAAAAGAAAATCAAAAAAAAAAGGAAAAAAAAAGGAAAAAAAAAAAAAAAGAATTTAAATCCTTTTCAATTTGTCCATGGAACTCCAATGGCCACACCTGCCCGTTGGAAAAGCTCTTTTATATTTTAATGCAGTCTGTGTATTTCCGGGCTCTGCTTATGATGATCTCTTAATAAAAATCTATTTTATTACAAAAAAAAATTGAGGACTTAGGAATGAAAATAATAATTAAAATTTTAAAAAATAATTAAAAAAAAAGAGTAAATCAATAAATCCCAAGGGAAGGAAAGCTTCCTCTAGCAGTGGTAGAGAAAGCAGACTGCAGCTCCAGCTGTGTAACCCGCTCTGTCCCATTGCAGCTTGTGTAGTGCATCCAAATCAGCTTGGGGTTGGGTAGTTTCTCTGGGTTTTTGGTTCTTAAAGGTGGAAAGTTCACAGGGTCCAGTGCAAGAAGGAGCTATAAATAAAGCCAAACTGGGGTTTTTGACCTACCCAAGCTCCACATGCACCCAGTGTGGAGTGTTTGTGGCCAAAGAGCGGCTCACATACATCGGGGTACCAAGGTCAGCAGCAAATCAGTCTGGACCCTATGGGGCATTAATGAAGCAGATAAGCCCAAAACTTCTGCCTACCCCTTGTGCTTAGATATATCCACTTGTTTTTCTGTTAACTAGGAATGTGTATCATGGTTTTTAATTGTTTCTTGTTTTAATAAGATTGTTCCTGAACGAGACTCTTAGGTTCACAGTGGGGCAATGGAACTTCCTTCTGTACCTTCTGTAAGATCGCTAGCTGTCTGCCACGCTTCATTTTACAAGTTTGATTATGGGTTGCCTACTCCATCTTTATGTATAAAGTACTATATAGTATAATACTGTAGTGTAATACTATATAGTGATCATGTATTGTACCAGTCCAGGTTCAGAAATGTGTGGTTGGCCAGTCGCAAATACTTCTGTTTCACCTACAACCTGTACCACCTCTGCAGGTGTGTGTCACTTTCAGATGTATAACATGTTTACAGATGTGCCCCACATCTAGTCCTCAACGTTCCTATCTCTAATTCTGTTGAGTCTCCCAACTGCTTGCCAAAAGTTGGAATCACCTTCGGCTCCACTGTGGAAGAGCTGAGGCATTCCTGAGCTTTAAAGTGTTGAACAAACTGGATGGTGGGATTGGGAAAATGAAGGTGGAAGAAATGTTTTGGGATGTGTTTTGTTTTATTTTCAACAGGGTGAAGGCTAATAGCAAAGTTCCCAGTTTGTTTTACTGGCTTTAAGGCTCTGCTGTGTATTTATTTGCCTTGTGTAGTCACTTGTCGCCTTAAGGGCTGGGTTCCATTAAAAACAAAAAGACAAAAAAGATAAATCCAAACCCTTCTTTGCTTCCCTGGGCTCTGCGCTGTCCTGGTGCCCCCCTGCCCCAGATCTGCTCTCTCGGCTGTTGCGATGCAGAAGCTGAGCAGCAATAACCCATTGCTGAATCTGACCCTGCGCCTGTAGAAGGATCCCAGTCTTGCTGAGTATTTGAGGATGCTCATGTTGGCCTAGTCCAGTTTTGATGTTCTAAACAAGCGCTGAGCACAGTTCAAGCCATGGGTTGGGTTGATTTCTCCCCTGATGCTCATCCCTGCTGCTTTGCCTCGCTGCACGTGGCTCCATGCCACCGGGACCCATCCAGAAACACTCTCAGCAGCTTCTCTGCTGTATTTCTGACCATCCTCTCTTCAAATGTCTGTCTTCATGAGCTCCATGGCGTGTGCTCAGTGCTAAGCAGTTAGGAATTCCTCTCTCTGAGCTCCTGTAACTGGCTCACTGGCAGAGGTGGTGATATGGAGATGGAGTATTGCCTAGAGCCAGGCAGGACCGTGAAGAAACTTCCTTGTGCTTTGGTGTAACTTGCCCTGTCGCTGTCTGCAGTCCTCCTGAAGTCCTCACACAATTCTTCACTGAGCACTTATTAAAAATCTCTTCAGATTTAATCTGTTTTCTGATTATTTTTGTGTAAACTTATAAAAAAAAAAGAAGGAAAAAAAAGAAAAAAAAACAGGAAATGGAGCTGTGACTAATTTAGCACATTGAAATAATGCTAAGGTGTTACTGATAAGTCTCATGTTTTGTTTTTCTGTTTGACTCAGAGTATTAGTACTGTAGCATAAACCAAATACAGCCCGGGAAGGGGTGCTCAGCCTCTCCCAGGGCTGCACCCAAGGGTATCTGTGGGCAAGGAGCTGGCCTGCGTGTGCGAGCATCTTACTCGTGTAGGAGAGCGAGCGTGTATTTATTTGTGCCATTGTTTTCATTACACTGAGTGAAGTTTTAAAACAAAAACCCTTAAATACGTGTGGTATCGGAAAGTGGCACTAAGGGTGAGATCATGACCTATTTTTGTATGAAGATACCAATTCAGGTTAAGGCTTCTCTCCCCTTTCTGTTCCTGTTGTTGATCCGATGAGTCCCTTTCCTCTGGTTCCCTGGCCAGGCTGTCTGTTGGGGTAAGGCTTCTTTCATGGGCAGGGCTGGCTTCTTTCTCCTCTGGTCTTTCCCCACTGTTGCTCTGCAACAGGTCCTGTTGGAGCTCTTGTACAGGGTTTTGCGCAGTATGTACCAGATCCAGCATGGGATCTGCTTTCTCTCTGGTGGATCACAAAGTGTCTGGTCCACTCAAAGTGATGGGTTAGAAGCTGCTCCATGCTCGCATCTCTGGTGGCGGTGGTATGGGGACCTTCAGCATCACTGCTCCCTCCTAGTCTACCTGTGGTAGATTGGCAACGCAATGACTTTCAAGGCTTGGTTGGTGTTTGGTTTTGGTTTGTCCTTGGTTGTCCCTGACACCTGTTTTTGTTGTTGGAAATCTCCTTGGCAATGTGGGTAGCTCCAGGGCATGGGTTCTGTCCCTAACCTGCTTCAAAGCATCACCCTCTCTCAGCCATAAATCATAGAGCAGTTTGGGTTGGAAGGGACCTTCAAAGGTCATTTTGTCCAGCCCTGCTGCGGTGAGCAGGGACAGATCCCACTGTTTGCCTTTTGTAGCTGCTGTGAACTTGTTTGAAACATTGAAGAGAACCCCAGTTCTCCTTAGGTTGTGAGTACACCGTGGGAGTGGGTGATGGGGGGAACCAGCTTAGCTAAAAATCCACAGGAGAAAGGAGAGATGGAAGTTCTCCCCTCAGTTCTGTGTAATTGGTGCTTTTCACCTTCAAGAGAGGGTCGCTCTAGCACAATTGCATCCTTTCCAGCCAGTGGGTGACCTCGGGGACATCTGGGAGCTGGGGCATTCACAGATGTGTTTCACAGGTGGTTTTTCCTGCGTGTTCAGTTTCGATCCAGCATCTTCAATAAGTTGCTGTGGTGTCCAGAGCTTTCAGGAGTCTCATCCCTAGAAGACTTTTCTGTATGTACGTCCTTAGTGATTTCTTTTCCTTACAGAGACTGTTTACAAGGGAGATGGTGGAGGTCAGGAGGGGAGAGAACAAGGCTACACCTGATTTAAAGCTGCTGCATGTTTCACACCAGTGCATAAAGCAGGAGGAGGGCTGGGGCTGGAGGAGCCAGAGTCGTTCTGGCTTTGGCCACCATGAGAGCATTTTGTCCATGAGAAGCAGCATCCTGGTCTGGTGTGAAGGAGCAGATCTGGGTCTGTGCTGCCTTCCAGAGATCACAGAGCTTTAGGTGTTTGTACAGGATGTATTACACCACAGGGTAAGGCTGCTTCCTTGTATCCTGCTCCAGAGCCTTGGAAGCAGATGTGCGGGGAGGTAGCAGAGAGCTCTATGATGGCCTTGTGTTGAGGACATGAGACCCTCTTGGCACGCCGCTTGCTGTCCCGGGACAGGAGCAAAAGTCATCCCCATGCTTTTTCACCAGGGGATGCTGAGCTGTGTTCACCTTGACTGTTAATCAGAAAGCATCATCTAACATGTCCAGCGCTCTAAAGCCATGTTGTAAGATAGCGGTATCCCTTTTCTACAGCCTTATTGATGAGTAGAGTATCTTTGACAAGGAGAAAAATGAGTTCATTTCTGTCTGTGGTATGAAACGTGTGTGCTGCGAACATAAACCCACAACTTTCTTACAAAACAAACAAAACCAACAAAAAAAAAACCTGTCTGCTTTCCATACGGTCTTTCCTCAGGTGCTAAATAAGGGTTCCAAAAATGGATACTGCTTTAGGAGTTTCTGCTTTATTCTTAAAAGACCTATTTTTTTTTTTTTTTTGCTTAGCTGTTGTAAAGATATTTTAACAAGAATGTCGTTTGGGTTATTTTTTTTTGTGTGTAAATAAGATGGTGTCTTTAATTTTTGTTTTCTCTCCTTTTTGTGTCTGTCGAATAGTCTCGTTTCCATTTTATCCTTTCGAGAAGGACCCTCTTAAGACCTTCCTTGAAGACATTTCATTAAGTGTTGCTGCATTTAAGAACGACTCTACAACTGTTCATTGTCTTGGATTAATGCTGCTGCTGCTATAAGTAACCCTGAACATCAAGAATGTGTGATGCACTTTTGTTGTTTTTCTTTTACACGACCATATAGTTCCTCTGCGAGTAGCTAAACCCTGGTGTAACACAGCCACTAACTGCGGGTAGTGTAGGAACGGGGTCCAGGAGCGGGGTCTACCTGACTTTGGTGCTGACCTGTGGGAACTTCTATGCAAACGCAAGCAAAGGAGAACTCTTAACTTGAGAGATCACTGTGCATTTGCCTTTTGTTGTTGTTGCTTTTTCTCTCCTTCCTTTTGTCAAGCTGCTGTTGGAAAGGGTAGCGCAAATCCCTGAGGTTTTCAGCTTCTCCTTCCTGCCTGCCTGGTGGTGCGGGAAAGAGGCCCAAATAACTTGTGAGGTGGAAGAATCTCAATCCGTGTCTTGTCTCTGGTTTTAGTACTTCTGTTTTCTAATGGAGTCTCTATGGAAGGAAATTGCTCATCTCTGCAAAAAGATCTTAAGGCTTTATCTCAATGTGAAGTTAACCAGCAGTATTAAAGATCGTGTGGCCTCTTTCCTGCCTGCACCCCTGGCAGTCCAGTCACAGGCTCCTTCTCTGGGTGCTGCAGAGTGGTTGGTGCCTGCAATTGGGTTGTTTTCCAAGACAAAAGGCCCTCTAACCAGCCAAAACCTGATGGCTGAAGTGTGAGGGAGGTCTTGCCCCATTGAGGTGCTAACACAGGGCACGAGCAGGTCTGGAACCTCTTGTCTTACTGGGTCAGACCTGGATCACTGCAGGGGGGATGCGACCCTGCAGGAGGAGTTCATTGGAGGGGGAAAAAAGGAATGTACTTGACTATTTATAGAAGATCCTTTAGGAAAAATAGTATCTCTAAAGTGAGGATAGAATGAGGAAGGTCTGAAGTGTAGGAAAAACGCTTGGGGATTACAACTGTCTGGAAAATAGTATATCAGTACATAGGCTAGGACTCTCTGCCTCTTTAATTTAGTTTATTCAGCATCCATTAGTTCTTTCTGGGGCAGCGTTTGCTGTTTTACGCCCATGTTTGCGTGTGTGTCCATCTGACTAAATGTGCCTTGCACGTGTGCTTATTCTTTCTGAAGGGAGCTGGTGGCGGTGTGTGAGCTGCTGGGACAGCTGGGCCCTATCCATATCCGAGGGTTCATTCCTGTCCCAGTGACCCATGGGATTGATGGATTGGGCTCGAGCCTGCATTGAGCCCAGCTTATGGTTTGGGGGCGATGTCCTGTGGGGTGGCCCCTGTGAGTTTGGAGGGGGTAGGGAAAGAGAAGCTGCTTTGCTGTTCTCCCGCGGTCAAAAACAAGCATTGCAAAGCTTTGCCTGCAAAGCAAGGGCCAGTGATGGTCTGCAAGGGGCTTTGCACTGGAGTTAGGGCTCTGCAGCACCAGGGATCCCGTTATCCGGGGGTTTATTCCCTTCCAGGTTGTGGTTCTTGTTACTGTGGGGGTTTTCTCTTACATTTTTTTGTTGTAAAGCAGAATTAAAACACGCCTTGCTTGAAGTTAACAAAATAGGAACGCTTCTGTTTGCAGTCAGTGACTCTGAATACGAAGCTGTGCGATTCCTTGTTCCTTCATCTCTCTCCCAGCTCACCCCAGCGTGTGGTTCCTGTCCCAGTCGTTCTGTGCTCCTGCCACTGTAAATGTGAAAAGCTTGCTTGCATTATTTTCTAGAGATGCATTTTGCACACCGGGGCTTCGCCGGAGCTCCGCGATGAGGTTAGTTTGAAGCAGATGAATAAAGCTATGCACATGTTTTGAAAGTTTAATTTGTGTCTCATTGCCAGAAGTGACTTATCTGCCCTCTTTTGCATTCCTGTGCTGTCATTGCCTGCGTTCTCTTCACCGCCCTGCAGGGTCTGATGTAAGGTGACAGTTCTTTGCTGACAGCTCTAGCAGAGGACTGGCGTTTCTTGATTCTTTTTGGTAGCCTCTCCCCTCTCCTTGGCTTTCTCTGTCTCTGTAGAGCTATATAAATATATATATATTATTTTTTTATTTTAAAGAGCCTGCTTTAGTGCTTGGATCGGAGGGAGCGGGGTGTCGCTGGCCTGTGGTTCAGGTACGCTCCTAGTGTCGCATGAACGAGTGCCCCTTTATTCCTCTGGTTGAGAGCGGTCCCCGTGGGGTGTGCGGGTGGGATGGGGACGGGGAGCACACAGCTTTGAGGAGGGGATGGAGACGGAGCTGCTGGAGGTTTCTAATGACAGAGTGAGCCCTTCCGTTGTGTATTCCCACTGTGAGGTGGGGGACAGCTTTCCTCACGGTGGTCCCTGGCGCGGAGGGTCAGCTCGCGTTGGTCTCTGAGCTTCATCTGGGGTTTGTTTTCACGAGTTGGGTGCGTTGGGTTGCAGGTACCACCTTTGGAAACGTGTTGCTTAGCCAGGATGCTGCTTATCCCAGAGCTTTTGCGCAGGAGAGGGGGGGTTTTGTGCGGGGAGAAGGACCCTGACCGCTTCCTCCTCCCGTTCCCTTCGCCGTGGCAGCGATTTGTACTAACTTGACAGCTTTCTTTCGTACCGAACAGGGCTGCTTTTCTATCTACCATCACACACGTGTACTTACACACCTTCAGCCTCGCTCTGGAGGTCCTCAACTTGTTTACTGGGGGGACGGGTGCCCCCCTCTGTCCCCCTCCCCTGAGTATTTCAGTGTTAAGGGCGATGCGAAACCCAACCGCGCGCTTCGCCTGTCTCCTCCCGCCTCCCCCATCCACGAGTTCTCATTTCCTTCCGTTTCCTTGTGTATTAAATTCACCACGAAGGGGTTGTGCTGAGTTACCTCTGACCCTCAGAGAGGCGCAGCCCCTCTTGGTTGTGTGCGACCACACGAGTCCGTAAAGGTAGTTTGTGTTTCCTTCTCCCTTCCTTGGTTATTCCCGATGAGGTTAATGCACTCTTGTGTGCCCAGCTGGAAAAGTGTCGGTGTTTTCCCGGTGGTGAGGGGGTGGCTGGAAGAGTTAGTGGAATTCCTGCTGTAGCTGTGTCTGGCGCAGCCCTTTGCGCTGGAATGGGTGATGTCACGGACTGTAAGGATAGGTGATGTCCATGAGCTGTAATGGCATGATGTTATCTTTACCAATGATGTCATAGTTCACACTAAATGTTTAAAAAAGAAAAAAAAAAAGAAAAAAAAAGGAAAAAAATACCTGGAATTTTGTTTATTCTGCACCAACAGGTCTTCAAAATTTATCCAAATTTTATTATTTTATCAGGAAAAAAAACCAGAAAAACAGAAATTTGTGTAGATCGAATACATTAAGACAGACAATAAGTGATGTAAATTGTTGAATAAAAGTTTTAAAGTTTGTGGGTGTCGGTGTGAGGTTCTGTTCCGCGCTGTCGGGGAGCATCCCTTCAACCGGGGATGCTGCGGCAACAGAGACTCCAGTTCCTGGTCCCTTAGGGCCAGCAGCACTGGCCATGAAGGCCATGAGCAGTGCAGGTGGCTCTGTGTAGGCATGGATGCTCAGTGGGACCAGGAGCTCAGTGTCCTTTCCCTTGGCAGGGGAAGGGGAAGGGGAGGGCAGGGAGGAAGAGAAGCCCACACCAAGGGTTTGGCTGCTGTGTTTGTGCGTGTGAGAGTTGGAGTCTGGTCCCTGCTGCTGGGATGGGGATGTGTGACTGCAGTCCTGGCACACAACAGACACAAGAGGGACGTGGAGCTGTGGGAGCGAGTCCAGAGGAGCCCATGGAGATGCTGCAAGGGCTGGAGCAGCTCTGCTCTGGAGCCAGGCTGAGAGAGCTGGGCTGGTTCAGCCTGGAGAAGAGAAGGCTCCTGAAGGGGAGACCTTAGAGCAGCTCCAGTGCCTGAAGGGGCTACAAGAAACCTGGTGAAGGGCTTGGGACAAGGGATGTAGGGACAGGCCAAGGGGAACGGCTTTAACCTGCCCGAGGGGAGACTGAGATGAGCTCTCAGGCAGAAGCTCTTCCCTGTGAGGGTGCTGAGGCGCTGGCACAGGGTGCCCAGAGAAGCTGTGGCTGCCCCATCCCTGGCAGTGTTCAAGACCAGGTTGGACACAGGGGCTTGGAGCAAGCTGCTCTAGTGGAAGGTGTCCCTGCCTGTGGCAGGGGTTGGAACTGAGTGAGCTTTAAGCTCCCTTCCAAGCCAAACCAGTCTGGGATTCTATGAACAGCGGACACCCACCAAGCTGGTTTATCTTTTTCTTTCAGTCACATTTATTGGCAGTTGTGGCAGTCGGTACCGTTGGGGAGTGTTGTTCCATAAGCAGTTGCAGTACAAGAAGGGGTGGTTATTTCGGGAGGGGAGTATTAGCACCAAAAGGGAGCCGGTGAGCTTTAGAAACCTTGCAAAGATGTAGTGGGAAGTGGGGAGCTACTGCTGGACACGCCTGATGGATTGGATCTGGGAGGTCTGGGCGTGCGAGCCCCACTCCCTCCAGTGCTTGTAGTCTCCTCCGTGGTGGTCGGCCTCCAGGATGTACTGGTAGCCACGGTACCCGGGATACTGGTAGCAAACCCAGCTGGAAGACAAGGAGTCATCAGGCAGCCATTAAGAGGGCTGAGAGGTAAGCAAGGGGGTTATGGGGTGTCCCCCCTCCGGCTGTGGTTTGTCCCTGCTGCCCGTGGTGCTGTGCCCATCACTTACGCGCCACACGAGATCTTCATGGAGCCCACTTCGTTGTTGGCCCAGCCCATGGCCTGCAGCGAGGGGTAGTCATCAGCGATCTCCCACTGGCGGCCGATGAAGTTGTCCTTCTCGAAGATGGTGATCCTGGATTCCTTGTGGTTCTGGGGATAGAGATGGGGTGAGGGTGAGGGGTGCTCCCTCCCTGGCTGTCCCTCCCTATGGCATTGCTTCCAGGGTTTGATGGGGAGGGAGGTGCTCAGAGCCTGGGCTGTGTGGGGTTTTGTAGGGGAGCCTGGTTTTCCCAATGCCCAGCTGTGAGGAGGTGCTCAGCAGGGCGGTGCTGAGCCAGGAGGTGTCAGAGCTGTGCCACAGCTCCCATGTCAGGTGAGCTGTTCACAGTATCACAGTATCACAGTATGTTAGAGATTGGAAGGGACCTCGAAAGATCATCTAGTCCAATCCCCAGCTCCTCACATACAGATGCCCCAAAATCCCCTTCAAAGCTTTAGACTACAGGACAGAAAGACCAAATCCTGCTGGGCATGGGGAGGGGAAGAGCTGAACCCAACCCAAGGAGCCTCTGCCACCCACAGAGCCCCTGCCATGGCTCTGTTTGCCCTTCCTGACCCCGCTCCCTTGGCCTGGAGCTATTGCCTGGGGCACTCGATTGGGATGAGGGATGGGAGGGCTCCGTGGCAGCGGGGGCACTCACAGCGGAGCAGACGGGGCGGAAGGACATGAGGCGCTCGATGTGGTAGGCGTTGCTGCCGCTCCAGGCGTCCCAGCGCGGGTACTCTCCCCTCTCCAGGATGAACTGCTGCCCGCAGAACCCGGTGTGCTCGTAACCCACCCAGCTGCGGAGACAGAGCGTGCCAGGGCCTCCTGTGCCGGCAGTGGGGTCCTGCCCGCGCCTGGCACCAGGGTGCGAGGAGGAGTTGGGGTCTGGCCTCTGCCCACCCGTGGGGAGGAGAGGAAGCGGTGCTGGATGTGGCTGCCCTGCCCCTGACTGCTCTGTGGTTATGTGCACAGCTCAGCATCGCATTTGGATGCCCCAGGACAGCCTTGCTCTCAAAAAGCCTCATTTCTTGTTTCCCACAAAGCACAGCTGGAAAGACCCGAATTCCTGATGCCTTCCCCTTTCTGGCTCCCCCTCTTTGCTGAAAATAGGCAAGGAGAGGTGAGAAGATGATGTCTTCATCCTGCAGGACGTATTTTCCAGCCCTGGTGCTGCCCATATGAGATCCTGCCTGTCCCTGGGGCGGGGACATCCCCTTGAGAATGAGATGGAACAACTGGAGCTGAGTGGGGAGGCAGAGGCTGGGCTGGGGGCTGGAGGATGATGGCATAGGCTGTGCACACCCCAGGCTCCTGCTTTTGGGGTATGAGAGGCACAGTGAGCCCGGGGGCGGGGGCCAAGAGCCTCTTGCAACTGATCCAGACTGAGGCCCAATCCTGTGTCCCACAGTCGTGCTCCCCTGTGCAAGGTGAGCAGCCTGATTAGGAGCACGTCAACTGGAGCAGCGAGCTGATTACGGTGTGAGCATGCACGCCGCTGTAATCCCATTAGCATTACAAACCCTAAATATAGCAGCACAAATCTATCCTGTCTGCTTCCCAGCCCCAGCAGGATGCTCGCCATGGGGACCCATCCTTACACACAGCGTCTGGAGCAGATCAGGACATGGCTTGTCTATGCCAGGGAAGATTCCTGTGCTCAGAGAGAAGCCCAGCTCTGCTCCAGACCCCTACCAGTGATTGGGGCAGCCCTGTGCAGGCTGTAGGAAGGCTCTGATCTGGCCATGCAGGAAAGCAATGGGGAGAATCAGGGCTGGGCGCTGTGGCAGCTGCGGTTGCCCAGGTGCTTGATGGGGTTACACAGGCAGGATGGGGACTAGGCTGGGCTCAAAACCTTGCTGAGTGCTGATCTTTGCTGCATCTTCGAGGGGCACTGGTGAGCTCCAAACCTGGCTGCTCCGAGGCTGCGGGAGGGAGTTTTGGATGGTGCCAAGAGCATCTCCACTGTCCCTCTGGCCCTGCCAGGGCTGCCTGCTCTACCCTGTCAGGGTGGGGTTCTCTGTCCCTATCCTCCCCTTGCTGCTGTGCTTTGCTCCAGCCCGGCCACCCCTCACCCTGTCAACCCACCCAGGAAAAGCATCCCGTTGCCGGGTACTCACGCGCCGCACTCCACCTTTATGGAGCGGATGTTGTCGAAGCCGCACTCCATGATGTTCGGGCAGGCCGAGGTGAACTCCATCCTCTTGCCCTGGAAGTTCTCTTGGTCGTACACAGTGATCTGCAACGCAGACCGAGCTGCGGCGTTGGGCAGTGCCCGGCACCGGCCGCAGGCGGTTCAGCCCCTCTTTGAGAGGGTCGCGCTCCATCTCTGTGCCGGGATGCGGCCCCGCAGCGCCTCGGTGCCGGCCCCGCTCCGCTCTCCTGCTCACCCCAGCGGAGGTCGGCTCCCGGGGCAGCGCCGCGGTCCGGAGGGAGGAGCGGAGCCGCGCTGGCACGGGCGGGTGGCCGGGCTGCGGCTGGCGGTTCTCCCGGCCTCTGCTCCCAGCGCTCTAGGGCAAAGAGGGATAACGGGGGGGAAAGGGCCGGAGGGGGGGGTGCTGCTCCCCGGGGGCTGTGGATGATGCTCTTCTCTCCCTGAAGGCTCCAGCTCCGGTGGGGCCCATCCCATTGGTACCCGAGCTTCTCCATCTCGGCTCCCTTCTTTAACTGTGTGCCCGCAGCTATTGCCAGACCCTCGGGGCTGCTCCCCGCCATCTCTGCCGTGTCCCCTGTCCCCTTTGCCCGCCTGCACTGACGGGAGGGCGAACAACAGCGTGTGGCTTTTGGGACTGCTCTAATTCCCTGGCACAGGGCCACTGGTAAGAGCAGGGCTAAGAAGAGGCTTATGGAAAACACCCAAGAGGGGTTTGAGCAGGCAGGAGGCACGTTCCCATAGGCAAAAGATAATGGGGACAGGGGTGCTGTCCTTCCTGTACCTCCTCCCTGCCTCACCGTCCTGCTCCTGGAGGACTGGCTTTTCCTCCTCTCCTTGTCCCCCACATGAACACAGTGAAAGGAGAGCTAGAAGGGGTGCGAGGACATACCTTCCATGGGCCCATGGGGACAGGCAGAGGGTTTGTCTGAGCCATCTTTGGTGCTGGAACGGTGTCTGGAAAGGAAGGAAAAGCCGTTGGCACCGCAGTGTGTCCCTGTGCTCCCCTGCTGCCCGCTCCTGGGGCTGGGGACAGCTCTGTGCCTGCTGCCTGCAGTGCCTTTTTGAAGGCAGCTGCCCTATTACTGAGACCAGTCACAGCGAGACCCTCTTGTTTGGCCACAAAACGGGGTTGGGGGACTCTGGAAAACACCTAAAGCATGGTGCTCCCTTCTCACTGTCGCAGTGTCCCTTTCCTTCTCCCAGCCATGGCACCGGCGTATTGTCTGGCTCCCCTTTCCCCTTCCCATCACTAGGAATAACCCCCCTGAGCTGGAGCAGGGAGCTGTGATGTGAGGCATAGTCTGCCCCGTGCCTGATGGTCTCCAACAGCCCCCCTGCCTCTTCTCCC